AAAAAAAAAAAAAAAAGTCACTGCTCCTGTTAACCCAGATTCATACTTATGGAAGCTATGGAATCTTAACAGATATACTATGTATAGCAATAAGCAATTCCTGAATGGGTATGGCTCACTTTAAATAAACTCAACACATGAAAATCAAGTATTCCAAAAATATAAATTGGTAGGAAATCCTATTTGTGGCACTAGAAGTGATGGTAATTCCTGGAGTTCTCTCCCCTCTGACACCAGAAAGAGTAATATGTCTGAGTCATTATATTCTTTGCTTCTATGTAGGGTTGACTATTGTCACTTAATCTAGTCTTCCTGATCTAAATCTGTGATATAATAAGCAGCTGTGTTGTTGCTGTGTTTGCTGTTTTCTTTATAAAATACCTATAATAGTAACAAATGGTAGAAATTAAACTAATGAGTCTAAAGTATCAGTCTGATATAAAATATTGGAGCTAAGTCCTTATCAAACATAACAAGAGTTATGTTATAGTTATCCAGTGTAACAGTGTAACATTACAGAGATCTCAAAATCTGGAGCTGGTATACCTTAAATGGCAATTATTTTAGTTTTTCAGTTCCTGTATTTCTGTTCAACTTAATTACTATGTGTGTAAGTAACTGCATATTTGGGCCTAAAAAATATAACAGGACTTTTTATATTTATAATACAGTTGTATGACACAAAATAGGTCAGAGACGTTTTCCTATCTTATCAATGCATTCTCATAATCTTGTGAGGCACCTATTATCAGATACATTTTATAGCAGAAGAAACAATCTCAGAGAAGCTAGTTACTTCCCCAATGTCACACAGCTAGCAAGTGATAGAAGTGGAAGCCAGACCACTTCAGCTACTTTATATGAAGTTACTTGGGCATGGAAATTTTTCCATCACATCTCAAACCTTCTTCACAAAGATAATGGAAACCAAAGTCAAATATTCATAAAATTGGTAAAAGGCATTAAAGAACAGTTGTTATTCAGTAGTGGAGGAATGAAATGCCATTAGCCAAAGCTATCAGAAATTCTCTGTAGGAAACTCACTTCTATTTTAACAAATAAGCAAAGCTTCCATTAGCGACTAACATTTCTCATTAACTTTATTCTATATTTTCCTAATTTAAAACACTGACATCTAATTTACTCTCACAAAGGTATTTTTGGGAAAACTCCTAAAATAGCATTATATAACTAGAACTATACTGTACCATCATCGATAGTCCCAACTTTGGTATCTCTTTTCTTAGTCTTCTTCTTTGCAGCTTTTTGAAAAGGTGCAAATTCTACTATAGCAGGATATTCCTGACCTGTTTAGAAAAAAAATAACCACACTTGCTATAAGAAAATGTCAAAAGTGGACACAAAGGAATCAACTCACTGCTTTCTAGGCCTCCTCTGAGGCAGTCATCTGAAGAGGGTCTCCCAAAGGGCATAAAGCATACAAGCACAACCATAATCAACATACTATGAATGGAACCCCAAATTCGCACTGATAACATAATGAAAAGATATAGCCTGGAAGTAAATATTTGTTTAAACTCAACTTCTAAAATGTAATATTGTTCACGCTTTAAAAAGGGCCTGTTGAATGGCACCTATGGCTCAGTGAGTAGGGCACCGGCCCCATATACCGAGGGTGGTGGGTTCAAACCCAGCTCCAGCCAAACTGCAACAAAAAATAGCCGGGCATCGTAGGGGGTGCCTATAGTCCCAGTTACTCAGGAGGCTGAGGCAAGAGAATCACCTAAGCCCAAGAGTTGGAGGTTGCTGTGAGCTGTGACGCCACAGCACTCTACCGAGGGTAACAGTCTAAAACAGCCTGTCTCTAAAAAAAAAAGTAAAATGCAATATTGTAACATGTGAAAAAAGACCCTGCAAACTAAATTTCATTTAAAAATATTATAAATCTTTTTTTTTTTTGAGACAGAGCCTCAAGCTGTCCCCCTGGGTAGAGTGCCATGGCATCACAGCTCACAGCAACCTCCAACTCCTGGGCTCA